GTCACAATATACTAGTCTCAGAACAGTTTGGCTTTAGGAAAGGAATTTCCATTGAAAATGCAGCCCTTAAGTTAACAGACAGTGTGTTGAAATCTATTAAAAAAAATGCATGCTGGTGGAATATTCTGTGACTTGGCAAATGCTTTTGACTGTGTAAATCATGAAATTTTATTAACTAAATTACATTTTTTTGGCATTCAAGGAACAATGATAAGTTGGTTGAGATCCTACCTAACAGATTGATATAAAATCATCAAATTCAATCCAAAGTACTTACTCAAAATGGGGAATAATAAAACATGGAGTTCCACAGGGGTCAATTTTGGGGCCTTTGCTTTTCATAATTTATATAAATGACCTTCCTCCTACACTAAGGACCTCATCAGTACCTATAATATTTGCAGATGACACTAGTGTTATAATTTCTGGTAAAAATTTAGATGATTTCTGCATGTTATTAAGCAAGGTTCTTTTGCAAAAATGAGTAAATGGTTTTCTGCAAACAAGCTGTCCCTGAACCTAGAAAAAACGAATGTAATAAAATTTATAAAAACTCAATATCCATTAAACATAGGATATAATGATAAATATATAGATGAGGGAGTAAACACAAAATTCTTTGGCTTGAAAATTAATAATCATTTAAACTGGAAAAAACTATATTGATCAGTTGAATCCAAAGCTAAGTAGAGCATGTTATGCAGTTAGATTCATGTTACATATTAGTAACACTGACACTCTCAAATCCTCTATTTTGCTTACTTTCACTCTTTAATGAAGTATGGAATAATTTTCTGGGGTAATTCATCTGACAGTAAAAAGGTATTTCATTGCAAAAGAAAACTGTTAGAATCATGATGAGTGTCAAATCCCGTAATTCCTGTAGAGATCTATTTAACAGACTACAGATCTTAACTTTTCCTTGTGAATATATATATATATATATATATATATATATATATATTCATTAATAAACTTCATTACGAATAATGATAAACATTTTCAGACAAATGCGGATGTACACAGTGTTAACAAAAGACACAAACACTGTCTTCATAAAACAACTGCTAAACTCTCATGCTTTCAGAAAAGTGCGTATTATGTTGGGATCAAAATTTTTAATAACCTGCCATCTGATCTCAAAGCTCTTATGAATGAAAAGGCACAATTTAAAATTGCACTGAAACAATACTTAAATACACATTCATTCTGCTCTGTTGATGAATATCTATTGTCTAGAAAATAACTTATGCATCTTTAAATAGCCTTGTGTGTAGTCAATGTGTATTCTTGGTTTCTCTTGTGTGAGAAGTCCGTTGGGACTGTACATATGCTTTGTATTTATATGACATATTCCACATCCTACAGTCATTTTGACTAACTTTGGATTCATGAAATGCAATGTAATACAGAATGAAACAAAACTCATGACTGGGCATCATGATGATAGATCAGAATGCTGAATTTTGGGAAATTGGTGTGGCCCCATGCACATCATATAGTATAACCTCACCATGTGCTTCACAACCTACATATTCATACCTCATCTGCCCCCCCCCCAGCTTATAGTATTAACTTACATTTCTCAGTGATGACCAATGAATCTTAAGTTTTCAGCATTTCAAATATGGTACAAAATAAAGATTTTTGAACCCTATTTAATAGGCTGCACACTATTTCAACACATGGTTTGATGTCATTGTATATACTCCAAGATCAAATATTTGGTTTTCTTTCTTCCATTAACAGTAGCAGAGAAGTCATTAGAATAAGAAATACTCAAGTATGATTTTCGGTTAGATTAGTTACTAGATAGACTAGGTGGCATGTGGTAGCGTAGTTGGTTGAGGGGCTATGCTACAAGCCAGAAGGTTGCGGGTTCAAGTTCTAATCAGGTCATTGGATTTTTTTCAATTGACCTAATCCTTCCAGCCACACTATGGCCCTGGGGTCGACTCAGCCTCTAACAGAAATGAGTACCAGGAATTAAATAATTTTCCTTTGGAGTAAAGCTCGACCGGCGTGTATGGCTGACAACCTTATCGCCATCTTTGAGCCGACTGTCGAGATAACGTGGGACCCTCAATGTCTCACAACCCTATGAGCCTTCACGGCCTGGTACAGGGATGGCTTTACTTTTACTTTAGTTTCTAGACTAAATCTAAAGCTGTATGGTAACAACTGTAACACATATGTGGCAATGGAGTGCTAAGAAAGGAGATGTACTGAGTAACAGAAAGAGAAAGAAGGGAGAGTGAAGAAACAACATAAATTTATAAAAATTGTTTTGAAGTTTTCTAGTCCAAGAAATCCTAATACAAGATTCTCTGACTGGAAAGTATTACCCTCGTTCGATCTGATGTCATCTGAATCAAGAATTTCCATATTCACATGATAAAGTTGGCAGTGACTTTCCTGTCCTGCCACAAGAAATGTGCGATGCCCACTACTGTGGGAAGCACAATTCATTACAACGCTGGAACCAGTTTCATGGCGTACAACCTCCTCGGCAACAAATCCTTCTCCATCATGAGACAGCTCGAAAATTTCCTGAAATTAAGCACACACTGATTTGCGTTCGCAATATCTCACACAGTAATGAGCAAGGAACTTTTTTTACTTCAAATTTATTATACATCACATTCACTCACAAATCCATTGGCAACACCAGTATTTGAAGAACCTCCTCCGCCACCCACTAACACATGACGACTGGTTAACATTTGTAATGTATATAGTGGAAAATTGACCCTAGCCAACAATCCTTCCTGTTTTCTGCGTGCTGGTGCCATAATTCTGTAAAAGTTCCACACCATAAAGGTCTATTACAGATGTTTCATATTCTGCTTTATTTCCTCACTCGCCTTCCTCCACGTCCTGAACAAAACAAACGAATGTGCAAATAATCCACGGATTACTAAATACAGGTCGGCATATCAATGTTGTCTTTCATTTAAATACAGAGCGTAATGTACCCAAAGACAGAACACTACGTTTCCACAACTATGAGACTATGAGAATCTCAAATCCTACAACTCTCTGTTAACTGTGGTCAACGTGGGTAGCGGCACTGAATACTAACGCCGGGCGCAAACCAAGGAAACTGGCAACCGCAACGCAACCGAGATTTTCGAGAAATATCTCCGACTTCAAGCAGACAACTGGTTTCCAAATTAGCAGGCTCACACTGAAGAAATTTACGTTCGATTAGTTGCTCACAACATCTCAAGTGGGTGCGTTTCCCCGCCAATTTCGCGCACCTCTCTTCTGTAATGTCAGATAATAATACTGTTCCTTTTAATGATATGGTGGTGGTTCAGACAGCGTAAGATGAGCATACAGGAGAAAAAGAAATATTGGATGCACCCGTTCTTGCTCTACAATTTAAACTCAGGTGTTTATATTGTTTCGAAATAATTTAATGAGGATACAGAACTGGGCGAATCATTTTATAGAATGAGCTTTGAAAGTTTTTCCTTATTAGTGGCTATTGTAGGATCTCAAATTCGAGGACAAGATACAATTTTTCGTACAGCTGTGTCAGCAGAACCATAGACAAAATTATAGTTTTGTATATTATAATTTTTATGTTTTTGTACAGCAGACGAGAAGACAAAAGGTACTGGACTGAAAGGTAGCAAGCATTACCCGAGTTCAATATCCCAATTTCCTCCTGAATCATGTTCTCGATTGTATCGTCGTTCACAGATATTTAAACTGTGCCACATTTTCAAAACATCTGTTATCTATATTTATGTCGGAATTTTGCTCTACATTTTGGTGACGAGACAGCAACATATACTTAGTTATCTCTGTGTTTACTTCTAGACCAACCTCCTTACTTGCGTCAATTAATGTTTTTATGTTTTATGTTATGTGTTTTGTGCGTCACGCAACAAATAAATCCACGTAAGTCTCAAATTCAGTAGAACCTTTATTGTCCTTCACTGTGACAAACACAAGGTTTACAATCGTGATCCCTTGCAGTATCACAATTACTGTTTCCACTATAGCTCGGTGAAATGCTAGACTGCTTACGGCGGCTTTCTGAAGACTTGTATTCTATGGAGGCTAATTCCAGACTGACTTGGCGAATGAATTCAACCCCCTTTTATACCCGCGGCCTCTGCTATGCAAATGATCCTTTGTTATAACCGTGGAAACGCTGCTTTGTTGATTCCGCGATTCCTACACAACGACCCATTGTTATTGCATTGTCTCTGTGGGAACGCTCCGTGTATTCGTCGTAACAGCGGAGATTCGATGTTCTCGACACAACGGCTCACTGTTGGGATTACAGTATCGCTATTGTTACTTCCTATGTAACGGTCTGTTCTAGCGTTGCTATAGAAGTGACTCTTCTGGATTCCAGACACATTACATTGCTCCCTTCTGAAGGCAGTTCGTCCCGAGCAGCCTAGCGGTATGTCCTTTCCTTTGGCGTTCGTCTTCGGGGACGCTGCCTCTGCCCTTCTCTTCAGTGGTGCTCGTCCCGAGTACTTCCATAGTAGGGCGCGAGACGGTCCAGATGTACTAGCATCATTATCGACCTGGATGGGTCCCATTCAATTTCAGTTCCTCCTGGTTTTCCTGAACCTTCCTAATGGCATTTTCTAAAGCAAACTTGAAAAGGGGTGGTGATAAAGCATCTCCTTGTTTTAGATCACTCAGAATAGGGAAATTATCAGAAAAATATTTACCTATACAGACTTTACAATACATTTCGTTTGAACACATTTTAATCAGCATGAGTTTCATGGATATCCCTAACTCTATGAGTATAGTGTACAATACTTCCCTCCTAACTGAATCATAGGCTTTCTTGAAGTCTATGAATAGCTGATGTACTCTCATTCTATTCCCATTTTCTCCAGTTAGCTGACGAATGCAAAAGAGCTGAAAAGTAGTTGATCTGTTATGTCAAAACCCACACTGATGGTCCCCAATAATTTCATCTATGTATGGACTTAACATTTAGACAAGAATATTGGATAACATTTTATATGAAGTTGATAGCAGTGATATCCCCGGATAATTTCTACAGTCAGGATTATCACTTTTCTTGAGAACTGGTACAATAATAGATACATTTTTCCTTATGCCAGATAGAATTAATTAGCTTGTGGATCTTAGAACGTAATATTTAGCCTCCTGCTTGAATAAGTTGTGCCAGAATTTGATCACTACCTGGCGAATTATATCATTTCAATTTTTCAATAGCAATTTCAACCTCAAAAGGGCTAGTACCAGGTACTAACAGCTCAGCTGTATGCAGTTCTATCTGTCTATCATCACTGTACATTCAATAACTAAGAGAAGTAGTTCCTCCACCTATTCAAAATGTTCTGGGAATCTGCAAGTATATCGCCATTATCATCCTTCACTAAGTTACTTCTAGGTTGTTAACCCCTCTCAAAGTCATTTATTCCTCTATACAGGTCTCTTAATGAATGTTCTTGTTCTTACTGGTCATTTAAAACTCATCATTTTTTTTTGTCTTTCAGATATTCCCTCTTTTTATTCCTGAAATGCCTGCTGGTTTCACATCTTATATTTCTCAGAATATCCCCATTTACTTTGCTTGGATCCTGTAACCAGTGCAATTGGGCTTGTTTCCTTTGGTCTAATTATTTTTAGCTTCCTTCATTGAATCATGGCTTATGCTTCTTCAGTTCATAATGACCTAGACTCCCTTTGGCAGAACCTCTCATTCCTAATCGTTGGTTTGAAAATGTCTTCCATACCTACTTTGGCATCGAAATCTCCTAACAAAATTTTCACGTGGTACTTTAGGAATTTATCAAGTACATGTTCTAGTTCTTCATAGAACTTGTCCTTCATATCAATTTTATGCTGCTGGTTTTCAGGGGCTCGTGAAACGATGGGATAAGTGCCTCAATGTACAGGGAAATTATGCTGAGAAATAAAAGCATTTTTCAAATCGGTACTCTTATTTCTTTAAGTTCTACATCCATTTGTAACTTACTTATTGACTTACCTTTGTATACAGAATGTCCCAGGAGGAATGTGCCAGACTTCGGGAGGGTGTTCCTTATGTTAAAATATGCCGACATAACCCAAAACATCTATGTCCAAAGTTGAACGGTTACGGAGATAATGGCCCGAGAAAAATGTGGTCTTCTGGCGGGTCCACGCACTATACCTGTCAGCTGAGACGTCTTATCTATGTTTGTCCTTGAGTGTGGTGATTTACACTAGCCGTAAGCTCATGCGCTACCTACAGAGTATGTTGCGGCGGGGTCGTGAATGGGTGGTAGGTTAATTGTGAGGAATTGCTGAAATGCCTTTTGTCTTTTCACACGTGGAATATTGTGATATGCATTTTGTGTGTGAATTTTGCGGTGGCAATGCACGTGCTGCTGTTGAAGAATACCAAAGGCGTTTTCCCGATCGAAGGATTCCATCTCGAAGTGTATTTACGCGAATTCACCAGACATTGCGTGATACTGGTTCTCTTCCGAGTGTTTCTGTGCACTCTGAAAGGGAGGATGTACGAATGAGAAACACACGAGAGAACATTCTTGAGATGGTTCAGAGAAGTCCGCATCTGTCCACTCGTAGAATGGCCTCTCGCATCGGCATATCACGTATGCAGGTGTGGCGAACTTTACATGATGAAGAGTTGTATCCTTACCATGATCAAAGGGTACAACATCTGGAACCAGGCGACCATGCACAGCGTATGGATTTGTGCCACTGGATAAAAGCTCATCCCGAACTGTTAAGCGTCATTTTATTCAGTGATGAGGCGTCTTTTACCCTGGACGGTGTAAATAATTTACGAAATGTGCATGCGTGGTCCCATAATAATCCACATGAGATAATGGAAACGAAATTCCAAAAGAGATTTTCTGTGAATGTATGGTGTGGTGTGCCTGGGCACAGGTTGTTCGGACCTTTTGTGTTTCACAAAAATTTAACTGGAAACACGTATGAAGCCTTCCTGAGGAGTGAGTTACCATGTTTATTGGAAGACATTGCAGCTGGCGGAGGACACTTTGAACAATTAGTATAAAGCAGGTACTGTATTTTAGTAGTTATGTAGTCGGCTTATACCAGAATGCGCAGTCAGCCATGTTACGTCAGCGCTTGCCATGCATGTGTCATGTATAGTGCTTGGAACCCTAAGGACAACTATGACATGTCGTGCGAGTTTTTTTGTAGTTCAATTTAATGGGTTCATGTCACTCACAAGTTAGTTTGATGTTACGTACATTATTAACATTACAGAAACCACATATTCCTGCTAGTTTTAATATGTATTTGCTAATCAACAAGTGTGTAACACCTGTAAAAGTTTCACAATTCTCTGGCCATTATCTCCGTAACCATTCAACTTTGTACATAGATGTTTTGGGTTATATCGGCATGCTTAACATAAGGAACACCCTCCCGAAGTCTGGCACATTCCTTCTGGAACACTCTGTATATATACACAAGCCATCATAAAATAAACGTTGTCAGTTATGTATACAATATCTGTAATTAAATTAAATCTACAATAACATAAGACCAATCACAGAATTATATAATAACACAATATACCAATTACAAATCTCAATCTATGGTTTCAAACAATATATTTGTACTTGTTGCTACCAAAACTCTTTTAATCCTTACTTCAATCAACTCAGTCAATAACTTCGTAACAAGTACATCTATATAAATAAAAATGTAAATGTGTTTTTGTTCAAAGTCTTAAATCCTCGAAAATTCTTCACCGATTGCTTTGAAATTTTGACTCAACGTTGCATTCGAATACACGCGTGTTTTATATACCTATTATATCGATGTCAAACCTGTGACAGGTAAAAATATGTCACATGTTCGGAATCCAGGAGTCACTTCCATAGTAACGTTAGAACAGACCGTTGCATAGGTAGCGACAA